AAGTTGAGCAAGGTCGTATAATAATTGTAGTGCCTGAACCTTCCGGATAACTGCTTGAGGTTGAATGTTCAGGGTACCAAGTCTTCTGCGCATCTTTGCAAATAATCTTGTAAACGTATGAGAAGTGGACGAAGGGTTCTTGAACTTAATCTTCTGTGGTCCAAAAGCGGTCTTCTTGAAGAACTTGTAGATAAATGGAAATTTAGTCGAGCCTGCCATAAATCAATGAGAACATGTTCCTGAATCCATGCATCCTTGTAGTTGTCAAAGCATTGAACAACCAAGGTGGAGATGTCCGCGCACGGTAACATAGATTTGGCCCATACTCGAATTGCAGGTTCAACTTGTACATAATGTCCCGCTTGACACTGTTTGACTTTGGCACGACGATTGTGTTCTCTGCTAAGAACTCCCACCGATGTACTGCCAATGTAACACCATTTGGTGCTTTGTTTGAGGGTTATTCTGGAAGATTGATGAATCCACGGAATCATTAGTTTAACATAAACAGAATGGGTCGCGGTGATCAAAGCGTACGAATACTTCTGAGGATGTACTCCAAGAACTCGAAGTTTTTTGTCGCAAAGTAGAAGATCAAAACTAGGTGCATTGCACCTTGTATCCACAGTGGGCCTGTCAAAACTGCCGGTAGGTGATGTAGAACAAATGTCGAGAATTTGGCAAACAGTATATAACATTTATGCAATTCATCAACCTGTTCAGCTGGCAATGGATTAGCAAATTGCTGTATGATTCAGGCTGCCAACATTGTTGCTGTAGCCATAACAGCCGAAAGGCCCACGCGATTGGCAATACTAATGGGGATACCAAACTTCACGGCGAGTTCTTTGAGACGATCTTTAGCCATCTGGGTGGCTTTGTCTGATTAAGTCTTGTAAATCTCATCAACTAGGGTCTGAAGCTCTTCAAACTTCTGAACGCCCAAAGTTTTCTTGAAGGCTTTGACCCAGACTTGAGAGGCCTCAGTTAAGGGTCCAGCCAAACGCTTGATCCTGGTCTTGAGGATGCCCTGCTCAATGTTTTCGAGATGACCCAAGGTTCCCGGCTGAGGATCATCCTGTGGAACTGAGGGTCCGGGCGTCTGGAGCGGTAGCGTACGATTGGAGCCCGAGAGCCCGAAGATGGCTCTCCTAAAAGCGCTGCCGGTTTAGCAGGTGACAATTCAACTCCCTGAGCTCTGAGCTGTTCCTCCCTTTTGGCTAGTTGTGTCTTCAATGCAACCATTTCTTGGGAGGCTTTTGAGTTAGCTTCAACAGGTGCATACTTCTGAAGAACTTGAAGCAGCTGTGTCAAAAGTGAATTGTATAACGCTGCAACATCGGAAGTGTTAGATGGCAAAGATGTTTGGGGATTCTGCTGTACCCACGCGATCTCTGCGGCACCGTCTAAGTCGAGATGATGTTTGCGAACAAGAGCAAGAAGGTGGGCAACAAATACGCTTTCAGCCACTGACCTTGTAGGTACTGTAGAGATAAAGCCTCCATGACTAAGGACGCTTCAACTTTTTATTGAATGTAAGACCATGCAATTCCTTGGAGTCATAGCACAACTCATTGGTGGCAAATAATGCAGGAAGAGTAGGTCTTGCTGAAGAAACCATTTCATCATCCTGAGAAACCGGAGGGCGAATGCCCTTGCCCTTTCCTTTGCCTAAGGAGGACTCAGAATACGGGTTGCTTCGATAATTGGACTTGTTGCCTTTGTGCACCAAAGGTAGGTTGGCTGTACCATCCATCATCCTGGTAGTCATAGGAATTAGGCGAGGATCTAGGGGTCCAAGACCAAGAATTCCAGGACATGGCTGAGGTCAAAATCTAAGACTGAACGGAACCTGAACCTTGGGCAAAATCTCAAGGAAACAATCCACATTGATCAACGAATGTCATGAGTAATGTTGCATGCAAGCACTTGCACAAAAGCCGATGCAATTACAACTGCAGGTCTGCACTCGACTTTTTTAGCTTTTTGTCACAAGGACTTGAAACGGGTATGTGGAATCTTGACTACGGCGTCAGAACTATTTCCAGAAAAGGCCGCTGAAGAATTGGTTCTCATTGATACTGCAGGGATTGCCGATGTTCATCCAGTTTTTAGTCTTGATACTCCCATATCGCAAACCATGTGGGTGAGATGCGCTTACACGGAATGCCCATCTCCCATCCTTTGCTCGTACAATATCATAAAGCATGGAGGCAGCAATGTCTGTTGGAACGCCGCCTGATTTGAGTCTCACATGCGTATGTTGGCGGATTATGGATCTTCCCAGTACACAACATGGACGGTGATTGGACTTGTGGATCGCTGCCTGAAGCATTGAGTTTTTCTCGTCGCTTACATGTCCCCTTGCATAAAAGGTGGAGCTAGGCGACCACGTGACGTCCTTAGGATCGAAGCTTGATGGCCTCCAAAGGCCCTGATGCAAGATATGAGTGGCAGCGTTCCAATCTGTGTTATGGGCGATGTAGTATTGTTGAACGCTGCATCCCAAAAGCTCTGGTCTTGCGACGTCATGTGTAATGCTGAGATCAGCAATCAAACCCACCCAATGCTCATTCAGTTTGATTAAGCGTACACCTGTTACATAGTCCACTGTCCGGGAAGCCAAAAAAAAACATTTGCCATGTCACGCCAGTTTTGAATATCCACTGCAAGGTTTACTGGAGTCGTTGGTTGCGGAAGCAACTCGCTGAGGCAATCCACGCTGGTATTGACAAGGGATGAGGGCAACATGGTAAAGTCGAAGCGGGGGAGACGAGTTTCTGTAGCTGATTTCCGCCTGCTCAATGAACATGCTAGCATAGGTCTCAATTTGAGGAACATATTGACCATCTTCTCCCAGTTAAACGCCGTTTCGTCTGAAATGGTCACTGGACCCTCTTGATCATACACCCGAAGCCGTTGAAGCGGCTTCCACACACGAAAAGTCGGATTCTGTCGCCAACATACTTCAGCTGTTCCATACATCAAGAATTCATTGGCAATATCGGAATCTTCGACCTCGACAGCAACTACGCTTGGGAAGTGCCAAAAAAGGCCCCCACTGTGGCGCCAACCCTGCTTTGGCAAGGACGGATCTTTAAGATATGGCCACTGAATCTCAGGGGCTCCCGGCGATAGTCCAGTTGCAATTGCTGAGAGTGTTGCGCCGCTTCGGACACATAGGGCTCCGGGCGGTAGTCCAGCATTGGTCACTGGGGCTGTCAAGCTGCCCTGAGGACGTAGGGCTCCGGGCGAAGGTCCAGCAATAAAGCTGCTCTGAGGAAGTAGGGCTCCGGAGCAGTAATTGCCGGTGCTGTAGCGTTGCTCTGAGGGCGGAGCATTGGATTAAACCTTAGGCATCATTGTATTTTGATTGGCTGCAAACTGGGTAGCCATAACAGCAAATTGCGTGCTTGCGGCATGGGCTTGGTACAATACCTTGTACCCATAACTGTTGAACTGCTCCTCATTGGAAAACTGGACCGTAGTGGACATAGGTCCCATAGAAAAATTGATCGAAGGTCCCTGAGACTCTCACCAGACCCTGCTGGTGTATTTGCCAGCCAGCTAGGTCGAACCGGCATCGCTGACTTAGGTCGTGTTCCTCTGGCGGGGAACATCTTCACAAATTGTCAATACAATACAAAAGATGAACAGCCAAGACTTGGGCCTAAATAGCAGCGCTTGCCGGTTTCATGCAAAGGAACCAATACATCTTCAGTAGGACTTCAGTGGAGGAATCAATCGACTGTTTCATAACTTCATGACCTGAGCGTCAAACAGGTAAATCAATTGAATGAATCAACATTTTCAGAGGGAAGCTCTTCCCGTCGCTTGGAAATCAGAAGAAATCAAAAGCTTCGGTTGGCTTCATTGCGTATTCAGGTTGGTGAGGACAACTCCCCACTAAGGTGGCGCCCAGAGGGAAAGCCGCACTGAATACACACTTCGGCGGACCAAGAGGTCCAATGGGTGGCCACTGCAATTTTCTCCATTCTCTTCTTCATTGTTGTCATATGTCGCTTCGCACTTGCACACACAAGCATTGATTGCAGCTGCACATGCACTGATGGGAAAGCTTCATGTTAAAATCCTCAATTTGGGGAAAAGGAAATGCGCCGGATTTTCACATGGACTGGTTGCAAAAAGTTCACGCAAGCACCCATATTTGTGTTGCAGAAAGCTGTCTTGCTCTAATCTGCCAGCTCAGGGGNNCAGGGGCCTGGCTTTTCTAATCTGGTCAGCACAGGGGCCTGACCTGTTGCAGGTACGTCCAGGTGATCAGCCTGGATATCCTCCCAACTCAAGAGCAGCTTCGTTGGCAGTGGTCTCTTGAGTGGGCCACTGCGAGCTACAACAAAATCTGGGATTGCGAGAGCAGCTCACATCCGCCGCGGGTGTAATGGGCGAGAAACTAACGTCCACACTCGCATGACACAAGCAAAAATCTTTTGCCATGACACGGCTCAATTGCCAGATGTCGAGTCATTGCAAGTTGTCCTGTGCAAAGGATGCAACGCTGTCATCAGCAGAAGCAGACCCTGGCTTCAGCCATTTTTCGTCGTCATGGTCTCCAACAAAGTGACATGAAACTGCGCTCGCCGGCTGTTAGTTTCCCTTAGCCAAAGCAAAGCGCTATGTTACTGACAGAACTTACTGCATTTAGCTTGAACTGTCTAAAGCACTTGTCAAGAAGCAACATGTATCGAGGGCTTCACAAGACATAGTAAACCACACAACCCAATTGCTGCAATGCTGTTGTTCTGCATCTGCCGAACCTTGTGACGAAATGATGGTTTGACACCTGCTTTGGCAAAGGTACTTGCACCCCAGGGGACGTGGACCCCGCCAGCACGAGAAGAGCAATCTGATGGTGATTGACAAACATGCACACTCACTTTGCCTCTCAAACTCTAAAGTCGTCATCACAATCAAAGACTGAACTCATTCATGCTGCCCTTCCCGACCTGGGGCCCCCTGCGGTATTGTTTGTTTGCATCTCAAATCAAATCATCATGATAGGTAGAACATGTATGGGTTACAAACTCTTTGGTACAGAGGGTGACACACACACACACATCTGACTGCAATTTTTTGCTGCATGCGCATGTATTCAGACAACAGTTGTGAGCAAACTGGTATGCCTGAGAAGCAAACAGGCATTTGAGAGAGAGCAGTCCACCACCTCTGAAGTCAGTACGCGGATCCTTCGTTTCTGTCTCATTTGTGCCAGTACACCAGGGTTGAGGTTTCTGTCTGCGTATCTCCACCGTCCTCGTCCTGGAAGCCAAGTTCCTTCCATCTATGATCTCGTCTCCCTGAGCCCAGTCCGTTTCAGTGATGTGTTTCGATGCTCTCTGTCTTGGCCCAGCCTTCCGGAAGTCTTTCAATGCGAGACCGGTCCTTCTCCAGCGGGGAGAGTGCTGGAGCTGCCGCCTGCACCACATCCCAAGATGCAGAGACAAAGCCCGACAGAGAGACGCATCCATCCGATCATTTAAGCCTTGAAGTATTCCTGCAGATAAGCCTGAGCGCCAGCACTTGCTTTGTAATGGAAGCTCCAACTCACCGGAGTAAACATCCCGCAGCTGCCTCGTGCTCCTTGGATTGCAATGCACAAGCTCTTGCAAAGTCGTCCTATCTGGTGTCAGAATCAAATGTAACTGCCTTGCTTTATGCAATCATCCAGGAACAAAGTCAAGACATGCCAAGATGGCATGCGGCGTTATTTGCCAAGAGTCCAAAGCACCGGGCTCAAATGGTACAAGCACCTGGCACAGTCGTCTCCGTGGTCGCAACCGCAGCAACCCCGACTCCAAAGCAGCCAACAAAATGCCTCCTGTTGGAGATAGCCGATGATGATTTCCTCTCGCGGCCGCAGACGGTAGTCCTCCAGGGCATCTTAAGAAATGAGCTCATGCAAAGCGGTGCAGAGAGGTAGAAGCGGTCATGCGTGTGCAAGTGCCTCTCATCATGCTTTAATATGCTTGCTTGACAAGCGGAAAACACCGTCCAAGTTGCTGGAAGGCTGCTCTGAGCAACATGCACTCAGCCAATCCTGACAGACGGACACTAACTGCTTCCCTGTTACAAGTCCCTGGGTGCTGTGTGCAATTTGCAGCCAAATGGCAAATATCGACATCTCAGGCTTGGGTGGCTCAACAGCCGTATAGGTATTAATGCTGTCCGCTCGCGATGAAGCTCCCCTGCGCTTCAGGAAACCTTTCAACTCTGCATGGTGGACAGCTGCACTGCAACCAAGGAACAAGAACGGAACCATGGCCCCAATTGCAAGAAGCGCTCTTGGCCCGGGCCAGGACCGTGCAAAGATTACCGAGCAGCCCACTCTAGCTTCTTACTCTGCGATTATTTCTGTCTGAGCGGCGAAATCTATCGGTCAGAGTTACCGGCTGCGGAAAGCAAAACAGGATGATATCAGGCCAAGTCACCAATACCGGAAAAGATTGTGCATAGTTGCGCATTTACTTGCATTTTCCTGTGCCCTTGAGGCGGACCGCATTCACATCTTTTCAGCTGTTCAGGCTTGGCCTTGTCAGCTCCATGCAGTTTGTTGCGGTCGGCGCAACAAAAATACCACAAAGTTGGAACATCTTGTGAAACTGCTGTGGGTATGTTAGCATAGCATATCGTAGATACCGAATGTCACGGACTAAAGTCTTGTGACAAGGCTAAATTGAGCTTTATTTCTAAAGTAGAGGGCACGTGTTCAATCTTTCAGAGCGGCATGGCAATGAAGTCCTGCCAGGTGGCATATCAATTTCATAGCCTGCACCTGTACGAGGATAAGCTGGAATGATCGACGCATGAGGCCTGACAGGACTCTTTTGATCGTGGCAGCTTGGGCATGGCATCCTGCGAAGCAACAATTCTACACAGCTGCAAGGCAGCTCTTGCAGCAGCCGTTGCGGCAGGTCCCGAATGAGCTGCTTCTCGCTGGCAGGGGCATTCTTTGCTAGAGGAACCCACCTTGGCACCAAAGGCTGTCTGCCCGCAAAAGATGGTTGGCAGCAGTCATGCCGTACGAACCGGCCTTCCACCTCCAGGTCTCACTGCAGTCCTGGCAGGGGACTCGAGATGATGCCACTATGTTGGAATCAGGCAGGGCAGATAGATTTCAGAGAGCTTCAAAACTGCCGTATGGGACAGCCAGTAAGCGTCGGCCTTGTGGACTTCATGCTTGTAGACTTTAGTACGACGTCTGACCTGCAAGTCCAAGCTCTCACACAGGCAACCGCTCTGCGGAGCACGGCTGGACATGACACTGCCAGAAATGGCGCCCGGCGCGCTCCTTTGGAGGACATCACTGCCATGATGCTGAGACCTGTCATGGCTACAGTTGTCCATGTTGGAGCTCGAAACACTTTGAGGGGCTACTCCCAAAGTACATGTCAGTCACCCGTGTGGCCGAAACCGTTTGCCCGTGGAACTTGGACTTAGCAGGGTCGATGACACCTGTTGGGATACCAAGCCAGGGCAATGAAAGGGGGGCTCGGCACTTCTTTGCAGACCAGTTAGCCTGTTTGGCAAGTACGACGCAGTATATGCACCATCATTCGAGCACTGCCAAAAACCTAGAGGTTGAGTGTCTTGTTCTCGCTTGTTTTACTCTTATTGTTTCCCTTCGAATGACATAAGCTACTACGTGATAGTCGTTTTACTCTTCTCTTTTCTCATGGTCGGGCACATGCCCCCAATTGTGTCAGTTCTATCTGTACACATATGTATAACTCATTCATTTATGACACGTAGCGACCCGGGTTTTGTCCGAGCTCATTTGGGGTGATGTCAGGCGAGGCCGATCTATCTCACCCATTAGACCAGGATAAGCAAAACCATAGTTTGCAACCCTAGCGGTGTGTCAATTGTGGCACCTCTACCATGAACCCCACGGCCCGCGCTTTAAAACAGAGAGCATCCCACGGCCCCTTAAGCAACCCTTGCGTGGCTTATGTGGCTTGCCCCCCAGCTCTGGATGCTTTTTCTGCTCTAGGCATGTCGAAATAAACCTCTCAGGCCCTCCTCCAAGGCCTACGCCTCAGACCGCAGCTCCGGGGGATTTCTGAATTAGGCGAGTTGAAAATGCAAAAAACCAAGATCTTCTTGACAATGCCTCTTCCCTCCTGGCCTCCCGGGCCCTCCCCCCTCATTTGCATTCAATGGGAACCTGGAAATCTGCAAGACTCAAATGCTCAATGGTCCTGCAGTCTGTTCGGTCTTTGTAGGTTTCATGAATGTCTGCATTGAGGGATACCCCCCTACCACCTTGCCACCAGGCCCTCACGGCCCATGCCTCCAACTCAGACCCCCACAGCCCCAGGCCGCCTTCAGAGGTGTGTCCAATGGGCCTTGTTGGGCCAAGAGTCTAAGCGTGTCCATTTGGGTATCAGTAAGAGAAACCCAGATTTGTGTATTTATGTCCTCTCTAGGCGTTGTTTTAATGGCAGTCTAGAAAACGGCACTTTTGCTAGGACCCCCTCATGGAAATCTGCACGAACCCAAGCAAGAATCTCAACATTTTTCTGCTGTAGCTTCTTAGGATGCACCCCTACCCCCGCCCTCCATCCTGACCTCCCACCGTCCGGGTTGCCCTTCAAATGTTCCGCTTTGGAAATTCGCGCAAAAAAAACAAGTGCTGCCGGTATCGGGGCCATTGGCGGCAGCCATGAGAGGCAACGGCCCTTGGTGAAGCTTTGCTTCTATAGGTCTGGCTGCTATGTCGCCCAGTTTAGCTTTGGGAATTGCGTGCGCTTTTGACGCAGCGCCAACGCGGCACAGGAGAAACCGAGACCGAATCAATGATGCTCGCGATGCTGGCCAAGGGCCTCTATCGTGAACTTGATTGGGTTCTCGTTTCTTGCTCTGCGGCGTCCGGTACCTCTTGAACCTGAGCCGCTGCCAGCGTTGCCCCCCTGGGGCATAAGCCTGTAAACATCTCTTTCATCCAGAAATGGTCAGGGTGGCCTGACGATGAGAAGGCGTAGGTCTAGAACTTGTAGGCAGGCGTGACCCAGTTTGGCCTCTGATGGCATGATTCGCATCTAAGTGCTTGATTGGATCAGCAAAGCCTGCATCCTCGCTTCGCAGGCCGACGTTGTCTTCATCCTGCACTGTTGCCGAAGGGTCCTCGATGCCAGAAGCGCAGCCATGTCAGCTAATGGGTCCCTCAGAATTCAAATCGCAGAGGCCTGTCCTCTCTATCTCTGGTCAGCCTTATGCATGTCTCTCTCACGCTCAAACCTTCCCTCAAATTCAAGCAAGTGCTATTCTGAGAAACAAATGAGGCTGTGACATTTGCTGCTCCCGCTGCCCAAGGAATCCCCCGATCTCCATGGGTCCGCGACGGAGTGCCGTTATCCGCACCTGTCAAGGTTGCTTCAGCTATGAGGATCGAACATTTTGCGGCAATGTGGCCTCTGAAAAATGGACATCATCTTTGTCGCCCTGAGTGGAGTTGTAGAAGGCAATCGAACCTGACATTGAAATGCAACATCAACAAAAACAACAATAATATCTGCCACTCGCAACACGCAAGGCTTGGATTCGGAATGCTGCAACATGTCGCCTTTGTTGCGCTTGCAACGGAATTTCAGGTGGACCTTGCGGTTCTGAACCTGTGCAGTGTCCAAGACCAGGCAGCCACACAAAAACATGCGCGGAGGATGTGCGAAAGTGTAATGCTCCCCTTTCCATATTTCAAGGATGCAAGTCCATGTCCAAGCAGGACAGAAGAAAGCATTCCAGATCTCAACGTCAATAGATAGCAGTCGGACTACGTACAGAAATTTCAACTGAATGGGTTCGATGTTCGGTTTTCAGCTTACTCCCAGGACGTGTTAGATGTTCCTCAAAAACGACTGGAATTCTGGTAAGCAACTGCATGCAGATCAGCAAGAGATTATCGATGTCTTAACATTCTTAGAAAAGGTCAGCGAGAGGCAAACAAAAGTTTGAACAACTCAGGGATTTTCAACTGAGAATCAGAGCACATGATGGACTCCGATGGATTCAGCACCCCAAATACAAGTCGGATATTGCAGAGTCATTGGATGAAGTACCAAGTTTCCACTCCATCCGATACAAACTCACTGAAAATGGTCCAGAAATTTGAAAGACCGGTGTTTTGCCTCTTCGACCCTCCAAGCTTTGAGGTCTCAGATTTTCTTAGCTCAGCCGCTCAGCTTCCCTGAGTCACTCCTAAATTATGACTCTCACATAGAGATTCGGGAAAAAGACTCCAAATAAACATCCCTGCAAAACTCCCAATGAGGACTGCTAGCAAAGACTCCTAGTAAGGGTTTTGCCAGTTTCGCCCTCAACAGAAATTCTCTTGCGGATCCTCAACATAAACTTGGACAAGATCTGCTGGTGAGGACGGCTATGCAGGCAAGCATGGCAAAGTACCGTACCATCCCCAGATTCGGGTGTGGGAAGTACTTGTCGCGCTGCCTTTTTATGTTTGAGATCCTGCTTGAGAACTTCGATGAGAAATCCGTCTTAGGGATTCTTAGTCGTGTTCTTCTTTGTTGGGATCCTCCGGAGGGCCTGATGAGGACTTGCATGAGGGATAAGACGTACAACTTAGCTCTGGGCAGCAGAGATGAAGGAATGCAGAAAGAAATTGGAAACTACTTCATTGGGGATGTGATTGAGGGTGCTAGAAGGATCCAGCCACCCATTCCCCCCCAACGTAAGACATTAGGGATCCTAGCTGTCGGCCTTAATCGTGTATCCTTCTTGAGCATCATTCGTATTAGGGATCCGTGTTACTGATCCTCATTCTGAATCGAGACGAAAGCTTCAGAGATGCTAATTAGGAATCGTATCGCGGAGCCTTTGGGCATAATGCAAGCCCCGTGTGGTTCTTCTGCGGAAGCCATATCAGGGTTGTCTGTAGTTTAAGTTTATGGAGATCCTTCGCAGGTTACCTGGGATTGACTTTTTTGATGTGGTGTGTGATCTATAGCATATGGCGCGGGACTGGTTTACGGAACAGGCTTTATGGGGATCCTTCATATGATGCCAATTGTTTGGCTTCTGTGGCTTAGGGAATTCAGGGTGTTCATAGCCTACAAGTCCCAACTCTTCAGCATTCAATGCGCATTTACATTGTTTGCGTCTTTG